CTCCAGCCTGGGCAACAGTGAGACTCCGACTCAAAAAAAAAAAAAAAGATAATTTGTGGGTGAACATTTAGTTTGTTTCTTTTCTTTTTGCCACAAAGAAGTAAGGTGGAATGGTTAGAAATATAGACACTTTTGAGACTCAAATTCTCTCTTAACTGTCTGACCTTCGTTAATCTCCAGACCTTTTTTTTTTTTTTTGGGTTGGAGTCTTACTCTGTTGCCCAGACTGGAGTGCAGTGGCACACTCATGGCCACCAGAGCCTTGACCTCCTGGGCTCAGGTGATTCTTCTGCCTCAACCTTTCAAGTAGTTGGAACTATAGGCGTGTGCCACCACACCCAGCTAATTTTTTTATTTTTATTTTTTTGTGGAGATGAGGTCTCACCATGTTGCCCTGTTTCCAAACCTATGTACTCAGGCAATCCTCTTGCCTCCGTCTACCAAAGTACTGGAATTACAGGCATGAACCACCAGGAGTGGCAGCTCCAACCATATTACCTTATTATTGCTTTTTATTATTGCTTTACCTGTTCTGCTTGCATTCTTTTTTTGATTTGGGGTCTCACTGTCATCCAGGCTAGAGTGCAGTGGCATGATCACAGTTTACTTGTAGCCTCAACCTCCTGGGCTTAGGCAACCCTTCTACCTCAGCCTCCTGAGTAGCTGGGCTACAGGCACTAACCACCATGCCTGACCAATTTTTTTATTTTTTGTAGAGATGAGGTGTTGCTATGTTGCCCAGGCTGGTCTCAACTCCTGGGCTTAAGCAATCTTCTCAACTCAGGCTTCAGAAGTGCTGGGATTACAGGCATAAGCTACTGCGCTCAGCCCCTATGTGATTTTTAAATGTTGTTCTCACTGCAATATTTGCTTAAATAGGTTGAATGAAGGTTATTAAAACGGCTGTACATGTATTGTGTATGCAGAGTATATAAACATAATATATCTAATGATGCTTTTCAAATTCTTGGTTACTTCTTATGTGTTTTGCAGGTTCTTGCCTCATAGTATTCGATCGGATTTAGCAGAAGTCTGTTTATTTACCAAGGATGAGCCCAATTCAACTCCTGAAAAGACAGAACATTTCTATAGAAAGCTTTTGGACAAGCATGGAATTAAAACTGTTTCTAAGGTAGGAAGCCTCACTAATATTTTTCAAGTTATTTAGAAGATCTAATTCAATTGAACTGATGAATGATAAATACGCTGCTTTATTTCCTAATATTTCTCTTCTGTTCTTCTGTTTTTAATTTAATTCTTGGTGGCTTTCGGGATGGTGTACTCCATCCTGTCTGTGATGGGCAAGCTGTTGAAGTTTGACCTAAAAGCTGAATGTGTACATCAATACTTTTATATCCTGCAGACAGCAAAAAAGGCTGCTCACTAGATCATTACTGTGTACTTCCGGAGCATCTTGTGTTTGCCCCTGACTTGGCCTGTTTTTAATTGTTGACTCACTTGTCTTCTTTCTCCCCGGATCTGAGTTTCTTCAGCTGAGGCCCTTTCTCATTTGTCTCAATGTCCTCATCATGGAGCATCATGCCTAGCATATTTTGGACCCTCATGTATTCACTAGATTCTAGAACGTTTTTGAGTTCAAATACAAATTGTTACCTCAGTATTTCTTCTCCTTGTCCAGCTTCTTAACTTGTTTTTAACTCTTCTTTATGTTTCCTAGATTATCTCCCTCCAAACTTTAAAAAAGGAATATAAAGCCTATGAAGCCAAGCTCCGCCTTGTGGGTAGTTTTGACTTCTTCCTTGCTGATGCAAGAATCAGGAGACTTTTACCCACACACATTGGGAGACATTTCTATCAAAGGAAGAAGTAAGTTTCTTAGCAGTGACTGGACTTCAGCAGCATGAAATTGATAGGTGTGTTGCATTCTGTTCTCAATGCTGTGCGTTTTTTTTACAGAGTTCCAGTATCTGTCAACCTTCTGGCCAAGAATTTATCAAGAGAAATCAATGAATCTGTAGGTGGAACGGTCTTAAACATCTCTAAGAATGGCTCTTGCAGGTAGGTAAAGGACATCATGTATGTCTCTTTGAATCTTGTGTTTAATAATGATTTTAAATTATAGTGGGGGAACCCGGACCCCCACTCCTTTGGTTATAGGCTGGTGTCAAAGTAAGGGGTCATGGAAGTGGTTAGCTAGAAGGGCAGAGACCTTGTTTGTGGGACAAGTCTGTATTTGGGAAAAGAGCACAGTACCAGAAGGCATGTAAGAGCAGCAGTTTCCTGCCACTAGGGTTTTTCCAGGCCTAACACTGCAGCTTAAAGTTGCAGGTGAGCCCACGAGGTTGAGACTGACTGCTGTGAGCCATGATCATCGTGATTGTGCTGCTGCTCTCTAGTCTGGGCCACAGAGAGACCTCGATTCAAAAAAAGAAAGTGGCAGGCTACTGAGAAAAACTGGAAAGCATTGTTTCATCTCTTCCCTAACCTTTCCCCAACATAATAGGTTATTTTTATTCTTCTTTTCCGTGCTTCTCTCTCATTTTTTTTCTCTCTTCTCTCTTCCCCTTTCTCCATTTTTCCATCTAGGAAGCCCAGGGTATGCTTGCAGGCAGTGGTGATAGGTACTGGGGTGGGCAGTGCTCAGTCTCTGGCTAAAGGGAGGTGGGAGTACCAGGCTGTCTCATCCTCATTCTCCAGACACCCAGCCAGCAGTGAGCCTTCCTTTCGGCTCCTGTGATGGAGAGGGTGGCTGGCAGATACAGGTAGACTCACTGGCTGAGCACTGAGTCCTTCTGGGCTTCTCACTTGGTTCTGGCTGCACTCTGCTTCAGCTCAAGGGACCGTCTTGATTTTGGCCAGAAGATCCTGTGTCACAAAGGACAATATTTATTTTAGAAGGTGGCAGCAAGGTGGGGCAGTCGAGAGAGAGATAGCAGGTGACCCTCCTGGAGGTAGCTCTTCTCGGAATAGCTTGTGACTGACTCGGGAACCTGGGGGTTCTAGGATGGCATAGGCCCTCCTCTGCCCCTGCCTGTATGACCCAGTCTCATGCAGTTGGATGCCAGCTCTTTACTCACCTCTCCATCGTATGACATTTTACTTCAGATGGAAGGAGTTTCTAGAACAGGAAAACTTATAATCTTCCTTTAAAATATATTTAGAGGCCAGGCACGGTGACTCAGGCCTATAATGCCAGCACTTTGGAAGGCCAAGGCCAGAGGATTGCCTGAGCCCAGGGGTTCGAGACCAGTCTGAGCAACTTGGTGAGACCTCATGTCTACAATATATCAAAAGATTAGCCTGGCGTGGTAGCACGCACCTGTAGTTCTGGCTACTTGGAAGGCTGAGGTGGAAGGATTGAGGCGGAAGGATTGCATGAGCCCCAGCGGGTTGATGCTGGGGTGACCATGAGCGTGCCACTACACTCCAGCCTGGGTGACGGAGTAAGACTCTGACTCAAAATATATATATGGCTCGGCCTGTAATCCCAGCACTTTGGGAGGCCGAGGTGAATGGATTGCCTGAGCCCACGGGTTCAAGACCCGCCCGGGCAA